ACTACATACACGCGACATACACGTGACATACACACTACATACACGCGACATACACGTGACATACAAGCAACATACACGCTACATACACACGATATACACGTGACATACACATGATATACACGCGCCCTGTGCAATGCTGTCGCTCTGCGGTTTCCATACCAGCGCTGTCTGCAGAGTTCGCTTTCTCCGGCCCCTGGAGCGAAGAGGAGGCCGGGGAAGGCCTCTGGGGGGCGCTCATGGGCTGGTGCTTAAAAATGGCAGAGGAGATCTCCTCAAGGGAGCAGCCCAGCAGATATGCTGCCTTCTGGCCCCACTCGTGCCGCGCAAACTGCCGGCGTCCAGCTGGAGACACAGACAAGGACGACATTAGCAGGCTTGGTGCAGCAGTTCCCTGAAGAAGCCACCATGAGGCGCCGCAGGGATCACCGTCCACAAGGCTGGCTCTGTGATTGGTTGTCATTCATGCAGGGGCGGGACTAGGTGCCCTGCATTGATAGGCTGACTCATCAGCTCATTTATATATCAGAAGATGATTTTGGCTGAAGCAGCGCGCCAGTCAGGAAAGTTTAGACACTTTACAGGAGGGAGATTCCGGCACGCAGACCCCTGACCTACAGGCTCCCTCTAGAGGACAGCGGGTCACACCACACCCTCCAGCCGTGACAGACGGAGGCACGTGGAACGGGAAGACGAGGGAGCAGGAAAGTGATTAAAATGCAAATGGAGAAAAGGCCCAGTGAGAATGATAACGAAGAGACGGCCGGCGTTACCTTCATCTGCCTCTGTAGCGGAGGGGGGTGGGCAGCGTACAGCATGCAAACAGAGAGAAGTGTTAGATGCGGGGGGGACGAAGTGGCTACTGATTCATCAGAGAGCTGAGGGGGAGGGGCCTGCCACTAAGGGGCGTGTCCGGGCCGGGGGAGGAGTTACTGAGCAGCCTGACTGTAGCCCGTGTGGAGACCACACTCAGCAGCCATCTGCTTGGTATGGAGTATTTCTATAGCTGACTGGATTACAGCAAAGCTCACTGCTGCCCCCTAGTGAGCATGCTCTGCATGTTTTTAGCTCATTGTTTTAACATGCTTCAGAAATACTGTTAATCTAACTTAACTGAATGCTGGAGCAGGACTAAATTTGTTTAATTTGTAAAAATCGTTGAAATGTTTTACTCCAGCAGGGTTTGTCCACGACTGTGTGCATCCAGGCCGTCCCTGTCTGCGGGTCCAACGGGTCGCGCTCTCACCTTTAGAGGCCCCCGCTGCCCCCAAGTGGTAAATGGCGCCCAGGACGAGCCAGAAGGCCTTCTGCTCCTCGCCGGAGATGCCCAGCACCTTCATGGCCGCCTGAAGCTTGATGAACTGCTGGGAGGCCTTCTGCTTGTCCTCGGGCTGGGAGCGGACATGGGTCAGGGAGGGTTAGGGAGGGGAGGGTTAGGAAGAGGAAGGAGGAGAGGGAGGTGAAGAAGAGCTGCAATGCCGGGGCCTGGCACTCCACACGGAATGTGCATGTCAGCATGGGAACACACACACACACACATACGCATACACACACACACGCACACACACACACACACACACATACGCACACACACACGCACATACACACACACATACGCACACACACACACATGCACACACATACACATACACACACGCACACACACACATACACATACACACACGCACACACACACATACACACACATATACACACACACCCATATACACACACACACACACACATATACACACACACACACATACGCACACACACACATACACACACACACGCATATACACACACACATACACACACATATACACACACACGCACATACACACACACACACATGCACACCCATATACACACACACGCACATACACACACATACACACACATATACACACACACACACACATACACACACACACACGCACACACACGCACACATACACACACATATACACACACACACACGCACACATACACACCCATATACACACACACGCACACATACACACCCATATACACACACACACACGCACACATACACACCCATATACACACACACGCACATACACACACATACACACATACACACACACACGCACACATACACACATGTCTGTGACACTGCTGACCTTAGTCTGAGGTAGGATACCAAAGGCACTGCTCTCTGCAAAGTGGTTGAAATGTAGCTCAGTTCTGTGGAGACATGACCGTCGCCGTCACAACAGCAGAGCACCGGCATGGAAATACATTTCAGGCATATTAGCTGAGTGAACTGAGATGAACCCAGCAGGATGTTGGGTTTATTCTAATATAACAGTGGAATCAAGAATCCTGGATGAATCCAGTTAGAAAAACAGAGTATGAACCCAGCCTGACAATCTTAGCAGGATGAACCCAACAGGTGCCACAGCAGCTGCCCTGGGGGGGTCACCTGAGGGAGGAGTCTGCCCCGGACATCAGGTAGTAGAAGATGTTGAAGGTGGTCTCGCCCTCTGGCCTTCTGGCTACCCTCAGCTTCTCCAGCAGCATGGTCTGAGATGTGATGAGAGTGAACGTCTAAGCAGGTGTTTGTGTGTGTGTGTGTGGATTATGTTTATATTACATTGTGGGGAGAAAATTCACCCCACAGTGTTATAAAAACCTGTTATTTTTGACATTATGGGGACCATTTTTCAGGTCCTTACAAAGATCTGTGAATGGGATGCAAAAATTTGCAAATTCCATAAGTCTCGTATTTTGTTTGGTTACTTATGGTTAAGGTTAGGGCTGGTTAGGGGTTAAGGTCGGCATGTTGGGATTAGAGTTTTCCCCCATAGAAATGAATGGAGAGTCCCAACAAATATATAATTACAAATGAGTGTGTGGGTTTGCATAGATCATATTTGAGGACCAAATTGTCCCCAAAGTGAAACCTGAAATTTCCCTACTTTTGAGGTCCCCATTTGAGGTCCCCATTTGGATAACTTCAGTTTTATAAAAATCTGTGAATGCAATCAAAAAAGTAAAAATGGCAAAAGTCTTGTATTTGGGCTGGTTACTCATGGTTAAGGTTAGGGATGGGTAGAGGTTAAAGGTGTTGTGATTGGGATTAGTGTTTTTCCCATAGAAATGAATGGACAGTCCCCATTTAGATAGGAAGACCAACTTGTGTGTGTGTGTGTGTGTGTGTGTGTGTGTGTGTGTGTGTGTGTGTGAGATAGTTCCGCTCCACACCTGGATGGACGCTGAGGCCACCTGACCAGCCTGGTCGAAATCCAGCGAGATGATCTGCGAGAAGCGGCTGGCGTTGCTGTTGAGCGGCGTCCCGCTGTTTCCAAAGGCTTCCAGCAGGAAGTTCGCCGCCTGCCACTTCTCCACTAGGGGGCACCAGAGCGAGGTCAACCAAACCACCCCCCGCTGGAGTCTCCCCTTGTCGAGCACACGGCGACCCCCCCACCCACCGGAGAAGGCCTTGCCCGTGGCACTGCCCGCTGCCCCCGCCAGGTACTGCACCAGGTGCTGGCAGCACGTGCTCTTGCCACCGCCGCTGCGGCCCAGCAGCACGATGGCCTGGTCCTGCCGCGTCGTCAGGAGGCTGCGGTAGGCCGCCTGGGCCACGCCGTAGATGTGGGGGGCCGAGTCCTCCCGCCGGCAGCCCTTAAACATCTGCATTACCTGGGGGGGGAGATGCGAGGGGTTCTGAATGACATTTTACTACATCTATGTCTGTCTGTCTGTCTGTCTGTCTGTAATACTACATCTATGTCTGTCTGTCTGTAATACTACATCTATGTCTGTCTGTCTGTCTGTAATCAACTGGCCCCATTTCCCAACATTAACCTTCTCCATCTGATGGCCCTGTATCCACGCCCCCCCGCATCCGGCGGCCCCCACCTTGTCGGAGTACATGGAGGGGGCGCTGACAGGGTTGATCACCACCATGCCGCGGCCGGCGTGCGTGTGGATCAGACGGGTGCCGTAGCGCTGCCGCAGGCTGTTCACCACGCTCGACTCGTTCAGGTACTGCAGAGAGGCCAGGTCCTCCATCCGGTCGCACGCCGGGGGATTGGCCTGCCGGGGGTCAGAGGTCAGAGGTCAGAGCTCCTAAAGGACACCTCTGTCAGTCACGGGGTGGCGAGGCCTACCTTCTCCACGTCGTCCTCGTCCACCACCAGAACCTTCCCATCATGCTCCAGCTGGATCTTCACCTTCCCTTCTGGCACGCTGTTCTCCTCAGACTTGAGCAGCGTGGCTGCAGAGACAGAAAATGCACAGAAGACTGTTGACCACCAGGGGGCATGGCGGTTAAGCAATGTGATTCTGATCTGCTCATATTGGTTTCTGCATTGCCTGGACAGTGGGGTGACAGGGCAGGATGTGCTCGCTCACCCAGGGAGAAACCATCTTTGTGGATGAGCCACACCTTCTCAGTTCTATACCAGGCCTTCTCTACGGCGATCTCCTCCTCGGTCTTCACCTGGGCAGAGGGGTGGGGAGGGGGGGGGGACACAGTGACACGTGCTGGTGGCTTATTGTGTCGTGAAACCACACACCAAGTCAGGAAACACTTTTCACTGTGCATCACTCATTACACAGTTCAGAGTCACAGTGGATAATTACACAGCTCATAGTCACACAGAATAATTACACAGTTCACAGTCACACTGAATAATTACACAGCTCAGAGACACAGTAGATAACCACACAGCTCACAGTCACAGTAGATAATTACACAGGTCAGAATCACACAGAAAAATGACAAAGTTCATTGTCACACAGAATAATTACACAGCTCACAGTCACAGTGGATAACAACACAGCTCACAGTGAAACAGAATAACGACACAGCTCACAGTCACACAGAATAACGACACAGCTCACAGTCACACAGAATAACAAAGTTCACAGTTACAGTGGATAATTATATAACTCACAGTCCTATTGGCTCCGTGATCATGTACTGGACAGGCGATTGGAAAATAGATAAATACACGGGGTAATTACACAGCTCATAGTCACACAGAACAACAACACAGCTCACAGTCACACTAGGTAATTAACTCACTCATAGTAACACTGGAAAATTACACTGTGTCATCAGCCACACTTCTGATACGTGAATGAAGGTCAAAGAGGGGACAGTGTCTCCTAGGACTCAGGGCTCAGTCCCAGTTCACCCTAAACACCCGTTCTGCATCTTTATTTTTATTATTCAACCTTTGGAGAGCTACAACGTGATCATAAGGTCAGAGGTGGTCACAGAGCGGACAGAGACAGTTTCATTTCACGTCCTGGTGTACATATACCTAAGCATGGGGAGTCTCTCTGTCTCTCTCTCACACACACACACACAGCGTGGGGGACAACAGGCATTTCTGTCAGGCACAGCGAAAGACAGACCTTGGGCTGGCTGGCAGCAGAGTGGGCTGACTGCAGGACGGCCACGGGGTCCTCATCCACCCCGCCCTTAGGGGGGCGACGGGGTGTGAAGAGGGGGGGTGGCGAGGGAGGAAGAACAGCACAGGTGAAACAAACCCGAGGTGTCAGGTCAGCACCCCTGCCATCGCCACGGAAACCACACAGGCGAGGGGCAGAGTGACAAGACGGGGACAGCAGGGCACAGCAGGGGGCGGCATGTTGACAGCGCCGGGCAAACATGAAACGCAGGGCCACTGCCTTTATCGCTCTGTGAAACGTGGACAATAACACAAACCGCATACCCGTCCTATGCTAAAATCCTTCTCACACTGCCCTCTAGTGGTTCAAAAAGCAGATGCGCTATCACGCGGGACTGTATCGTCAGTCAGGGCGGTGTGAGGTGCACAGGGCGTGCAGAGCTGGGTCAGGCTGAAACGGGCTGAAACAGGCCAAGCCGAGCAGGACCAGAGCTAATGCAGCGCAGGTAATGGCTGTAACACAGGGGACGGGGGGGGGACGGGGGTGTGTAGATTACGGGTGTAGTGAAGATCCTCTCCAGACGCCTCTGGGCCAGCTCGGTTGGAGTCAACAGCGCCACCTACGGGTCACAAGACCATCAAGACCTTGAGTTGACGGGGGCAGGGTGTGCGCTATGCTCAGCTTCCGAACCTCTCCTCATACCGGCGTCACCGTGACAACATCCAGACGAGCGCCACGCCGGCACACGCTTAAAGGCCGGATGCAGGGGCATGCGGGGTCATGCAGCCACCGCCAGCACCGCCGGCTGAGCGCAGAGGGAGGGGCTGGGTTCTCTGTGAGCTGGGACAAAGGGAATGAGCACTGGGGGGGGCGGGGTCACGTCCCCTAAAGAGCAGGGCAACGAATCAGGGTGTGAATGGATGGGCAAGGTTAACATGGACAGTTAACAGTCCCTGGGAGCTGTCGAAGGGTACATGTCAAATGACATGTGTGT